GGCGAGGGCGCGAGTCCTCAGAGGCTTGACGATCCGCTCTCGCTGGGTCAGGATGGCTTCCCGCGCACCTGCCCACCTCCCTGGCCCCTGTAGGCGGTACTGGTACGGGGTGCACGGTCCAAAGAAAATTTCCACCGCCAGCTTCGGGTCCCACAGGAACAGGGAGAACAGGTTGGGCTTCACTCCTATTTCCGAGGCGATCTCGTCCATGTAGTCCACGTACTGCACTCTGCGCCTAACACGAGGACTGTTCAGGAGTCTGAAACCAGAAGGGAAAAACATCAGAAACCTCGAGGCTGATGACAAGCTCCACGCCTCCAACCACAGTTTCCTTTAAACGCTGGTGGACCTTGTATGAGGGGATAATCCATGGTGAAAAGAATTAATAGCTATTGAGGATTTCTCCAGAAAGCCAGAGATGAAATGAGCTTTCTTGTTTTCGGTGGTTTCTAACAAAATGTCCATGCAGTGTATTTTTCACCCTCAAATCTTTCCAAGGGGCTTGGACAGTAATAGGTAGTTTTTGGAAGATTTTTGTCTTATTAATGATATTCATTTTCCAAATTCTGTACTTTGGCCAATCATTTGGTTCTCATTCGGGATATATTCTCATTTTGGTAAATAAGTGGTGAGGCATATGATATATGAATTACACAGGCCAGGTATCAGGTATGTGTGACATTAATTCAATTTTACATATTGCTGAAATGCAATTCCTGGCCCATGTTCTTAAACAAAGTTACTGGATAACTAACTATTCTTAGGATAAAGACATGATCTCAGAGAACAGGCTGTGGCACTCATATCGCAGATTCTCAGTAGATTTTTGTTGAGTAGAAGTAAGTTACATTCCCAGCCCCAATAGTTGAGAGTCATATTCCAAGGAGATTTGGTACAACCTACAAACTTTTGACCTCGTGTCAGAATTTTAATCGGATTCTGTAAATGATTTGCCAGCTCACTTCTCACAATGACTTACGTACCTACTCCTTGAAAGAATGAGACAATCATCCATTTCACCTTACATTTCACATGCTGGGCCATTCTGTATCGATTCCACCCATAAACATTCCATACATGATATTATGCTTGGTTGAGAAGAAATAAAAAGGTTAATAATGTGAGGTCTCATTTAGGCAGCTAGACTCAGATTCTTTGATGAGAAAAATGTATGACTACTTGATAGGCAAACAGCTCCAGCTAAACACTTTCAAATGACTTTCCCCAAGAAGCAAGTTTCTTACTCTTTTTCAGTTTTTTTTCTCTTCTTTCTTATGTCAGCCATCATGTCACTCACTGAAGGCAATTTGGTCAATCCTAGGAAAGAAATTCCAAATTTGAACCTGGCTTTCTTATTGAAGTTGATCCCCTGGGGTCAGTGTGGTGGACACCACCATGGGTGAGGTCGCCCAGGTATGGGGGAGGTGGGTGCAGAGTTGCTCTGGAATGCCCTCCACCCGACCGTGCTTTACCACATGCACGTGCCACACGAATGCGAAGGTACGTCCTTTCAGGAGTTCACACTTTGACTTGCAGACCTCAAACCCCACAAGGAAGGATGAAAGGGAGTCACATCCAACCCACAAGACACGAAGTAGCATGTGTGTCGTCCCGTTACCCGAGTATTCACTTTCACTTTCCTTTAGTCAGTTACCCTTTTACCTTTATGTTATGACTTAGTTGACAGGTAGATATTGTAGCTACTAACCGTGACTCATGTCTACTGACTGGTTTTGTTGGACAGAGATGTAGTCCTAATTTTCCATCCTAACTCATGGAAGGGCACCTTCCTACAACTCTCCTTGCATTTCTTTCATGGGTGACAGCCTACAGTTTGAGAAGCACAGAATGTTCCAGAAAAATAGGGGAAACTTTTAAAATGAGAAGCAAATAAGTAAGCAGAATGATTACAGTGTGATTGGCATTATTTCATAAAGTTAGGCTTTGAATCTGTCTTCATCAGTTTTATTCCCAACATTAAAAGTAATGCTATGGTAAAGAATAAAATGATTACAACAGTGGCTGATCTTCATTCGTTCATTCAGTATTTATTGGATGCCCACAAAAGCCAAAGGACTTATTGTTAATTCTTTCCACCCTACGAAATGCATGTAAGAATTCCCACTTCCCATAAATGAGGAAATGGTGGAGGTCAAGTGACCTGTCAAGATCATGAATCCACTACGTGAAGGAGCTGGCTTTCAATTCTGGGCTTGTTTCATTACAAAGCTCTTTTAATTGTGCTGTGGTACGATTCCAGTTCCTCTGTGGCTCTGCCATAATTCTTATAATTCACATAGTTCAGAAGTCATCATTGTGACTCTGCTTGTCCTCTTTATATTTCAAACTTGCGAGAGAGACAAAAACAATGCTTCCTTTAGTTATGTTCCTTACAGAATGAGCCTTGCAGCGCTGGGAAGTGGGGTGACTCATTTTCCAGCTATGCTTTAGGTAGAGACTCCTCTTCTACCCCCCTCACTTCTATCCTGTGCACCTCCCTGAAGAGCTCTAGAAAATTATTTGCCAATAAGATGTCATTTATTGATAGTTCAAGGTAGTAGTTCTTTAACCTTCATTTTAATAAGGAATCCTAAAGATTAAATAACTGTCAAACACTGAAGTAACGAATCTCAAGTGGCAAAAGCTCAGATACCAGTGAAGGTGATTTCAAGTATGTTTTGCAGCTGGAGGCCTTGGCAGTGCCTCTGATAACTGTCTGCATCTGTTCTAAGTGTGCACGAGGTCAGCACATACCCTTGAATACACGTGCAGCCCACCGGCTCTGGAGTTCTGATGTGGGCATGGTGGCTCCCACCGGCTGGAGGATGCCAATGAAGGCTAGCGTTGGTTTCTCTAGCCGAGGAGGGAAGACAAACTTAAACATGGAGAGCTGGCTGTCCAGAACCGTTGAGTTATTTTCCAAAAAGGGGAAAGAGAAAGCATATCCAGTGGCAAAGATAATTACATCAATGTCCTCTTCTGTGCCATCTTCGAAGATGGCAGATGTCTCTGTAAACTCTCTCACATTCGGTTTTATCAGAACTTTTCCAGAAATTATGTGGTTGGGTAGATCATCGCTGAAAGTAGCTTGATGGCTCAGAAATCTGTAGAATAAAAATGGAAATCCAGGAAAATCAGTCTATGTCTGTTTGGAAAGCAGTTGAGCTAAGAAAATACTTCTCGGTTGAGCTAAAAAATGAAAGACCTATGTTTTTGTTTTATAAAATATTTCTTTTCCTCAATACCTTTTCTGATTTACTTACTGAACAAACATTCTGTATTTATCAGAATGCAAATATTGATTTGATGCTTTTTATACACAAATAAAAGATTTGGAAATGTGTTAAGTTTTCACACAAGTGGGGCATTGATATTCCTTTCAAACAATTTTTGGGGGAGAGATTTTTAGAAGCAATTGGTTTGAAGTATTTGTATTGGACCAGGAAAATTAGGTCATGTTCTGATTTCCATTTTGAGAACCCACATACCATTTTTATAAATGTTACCAACATTATTTAATTTTAACACCATTCAGTCTTCCTGCTTCCATACTGAACTCTCTCCAATTTCTCCCCCACTCAGCCACTTCAGTGATGACTTCTAAAATGTAAAACTATTACCCCCATGGGTTTCTATTTCACTAAAAATAAAATTCAAAGTTATTACCATGCCCTAGTCCTAAAACCAGTATGTGATCTACCCCTGCCCCGCCCTCTCTGGACTTAGTTCCTACCACTTCCCCCTTCCCCAGGACTCTAGCTACACTGGGCTCACTGCCCTTCCTTGGATAAATTGTGCTCATTCCTGCGTTTGAACCGTTCCTTCTATCTAGAATGTCATTCTCTCAGATCCCAGTCCATCTTCTCCCATCGTATAAGCCTTCCACAGCCATCCCCTCTAAAAGATTTCTCTCCCAGCCCTGCTTAACGTTTTTTCATTGCAGAGTTACTTCACGACCATTGCATTAGACCTTGACTTGTTGGTCTCTGTCCTACTACGAAGGAGGCCAGCAGGAGCTAGGACTCTATCAGGCATCATCACCATTCCATTCCCCACACCCAGACCCTACTTGACCATGTATTAGGAACTCAGAAATACTTGCTAAGTTTATCCAGGCTGTACAGATACTCAGTTTTATCCATTTTCCCATTTATACCTCACAAAAGACAGGTGGATAGGGATTACATTTTCCCAACATAAAAAAAAAGAGAGGAAAAATACAAAATTACCCTAAGGTTATATGGAAGGTAGGCACTATAGGTTTGTGATAAGACTAGATGGGTGTTGGCAGGTCCAATGATCTTAACTAAATATATATTTTTTATCAGTGAAGACAAAATGGCTTTAGCAGTCATGATTCCAATAAAATATTGTAAGTGAAGTGTATTTCCAGGCATGCTTTGGAGATATTGTGGGCTTGGTTCCAGACCACTGCAATAAAGTGAATATCTCAATAAAGTGACTAAAGTGAATGTTTTGGTGTCCCAGTGCACATAAAAGTTATGTTTACACTATACTGTAGTCTGTTAAGTGTGCAATAGCATTATGTCTACAGAGACAATGTACATACCTTAATTAAAAAATACATATTGCTAAAATTGCTGAATATAATCTGAGCTTTCAGTGAGTCATTAATCTTTTTGCTGGTGGAGGGTCCTGCCTTGATGTTGATGGTTGTTGTCTGGTTAGGGTGTGGTTGCTGAAGGCTGGGGTGGCTGCGGCAATTTCTTAAGACAGCAGTGAGATTTGCTGCATCGAGTGACTCTCCTCTTCATGAGTGATTTCTCTGTAGTATGTGATGCTATCTGACAGCATTTTACCCACAGCAGAACTTCATTCAAAATTGGAGTCAGCCCTCTCAAACCCTGCTGCTAAGTTTATGGAATGTTCTAAGTCCTTTGTTGTCATTTCAACAATCTTTATAGCTCCTTCACCAGAGTAGATTCCAGCTCAAGAATCCACTTTCTTTGTTCACCCATAAGACCTCCTCCTCTGTGCAAGTCTGGTCACGAGATGTCAGCAGTTCGGCCCCATCTCCAGGCCGTGGGTCTGAGTCTAGCTCTCCACATCCGCAGTCACTTCCTCCCCTGAAGCCTTGCGCCCCTCAAAGTCATCCCTGAGGGTCAGAGTCAATCTCTGCCAAACACTTGTTAATGTTAATATTTTGACCTCTTCCCGTGAATCATGAATGTTCACAATGGCACCTAAAATGATGAGTCTTTTCCAGAAGCTTTTTAATTTACTTTCCCAGCTCCATCAGAGGAATCACTATCTATGGCAGGCGTAGTCTTACAAAATGCATTCCTTAAACAATAAGACTTGAGAGTCTAAGTGACTCCTTCATCCATGGGGTGCAGAACGGCTGTTGTGTCAGCAGGCATGAAAGCAGCACTAATCCCATTGTCCATCTCCATCAGAGCCCCTGGGTGGCCAGGTGCATTGTCAACGAGCAGTAATGTTTTGAAAAGAATCTTCTTTTCTAAGAGCGGTAGGTGTCAACTGTGGGCTGAAAATACTCAGCAAACCATGTTGTAAAGAGATATGTTATCACCAGGCTTTGATCTGTTCCCAGAGCACAGGCACAGTAGATTTAGCATAATTCTGAAGGACTTTAGGATTTCCAGAATGGTGAATGAACACTGGCTTCAACTAAGCTCACCAGCTACATTAGCCCAGAACAAGAGCGTGAGTCTGTCCTTTGAGGCTTTGAAGCCAGGCACCGACTTCTCTCTAGACATGAAAAGTCCTAGATGGCATCTTCTTCGGATATAAGGCTCTTTTGTCTATATTGAAAATCTGTTGTTTAACATAACTACTTTCATTAATGATTAGAGCTACATCTTCCAGGTAACTTGCTGCGGCTTCCCCATCAGCACCTGCGGCTTCACCTCCACTTTTCTGTTATGGAGACAGCTTTCCTCCTTGAACCTCAGGAACCAACCTCTGGTAGCTTCAGACTTTTCCTCTGCAGCCTCCTCCCCTCTCTCAGCCTTCCCAGAATCGAAGAGTTAGGGCCTTGCTCTGGACGAGGCTTTGGCTTAAGGGAATGCTGTGGCTGACCTGATCTTTATCCAGACCACTAAAACTGTCTCCGTATCAGGAATAAGGCTGTTTCGCTTCCTTATCAACTGTGTGTTTACTGCAGGAGCACTTTTAATTTCCTTCAGGACTTGTCCTTTGCATTCACACTGGCTAATTATTTGGTGCAAGAGGCCTGGCTTTCGGCCTGTCTTGGCTTTCTACATGCGTTCCTCACTAAACTCATTTCTAGCTTTTGAATTAAAGTGAGAGACATGCAGCTCTTCCTTTTCTTAACCAGTTAGAGGCCTTTGTAGGGTTCGTAACTGGCCCAATTTCAATATTGTGTCTTGGGGAATAGCGAGGCCCGAGGAGAGGGCGATTGGTGGAGGGGTCAGGGTGCACGCATTTACAGATTAAGTCTGCATCTTATATGGGTGCAGTTCATGGTAATGCAAAATAATTTCAATAGTACCATCAAAGATCACTGATCACAGATCACCATAGCAAATGCAGTAACAGTGAAAAGTTTGAAATATTGTGAGAATCACCAAAATGCAGCACAGAGGCCTGAAGTGTGCAAATGCTCTTGGGAAAAGGGCCCTGATGGATTGCTCAGCACAGGGTTGCCACAGACCTTCAATTTGTATAAATTGCTACATCTTTGAAACACAATGAAGCACAATAAAATGAGGTCTGCCTGTATATTCTTTGTACTTGGGTGAATACATTCTCACTAAAGGGAAAGTCATTTTACTTTCCTAACAGTTTCAAGCAAAATTTTATTCTATTTTATACATATTTATATTAATCATATAATGTATGTTTATATTTATCCCACTTTTCCTCTTTTCCACTTCATGGGTATTTCTTCCTAGTTTGTACTCAAGGACTCAGTGAGACCCGCGTTTCCCCTTTCCTCATGCCTATTATCCTTGCAGATTTCTGCTGGGTCTTCAGGTGGCAGACCTTCAGCCCACCTCCATCATTTTCATTGTCTTGTTGAGGGGATTTTTCTGGTTCCATTATGTATTTCTTGTGGTTCAATTCCCAGAGCAGACCACTGTACATTTCAGATGCAGACAAAACATGTTTTGTGTACCACAGTTGGGTAACCTTTACGTATTTGCAGCGAACTTCCTAGTAAGTCTTGCCTTTTTTGAGTCTGGGGCACAGGAGTGGATAGGTTCACTCTCCCAGCTCACCTGCTTGCCGCCTGTGAGGAGGGGCACACAGGAGGGGTCTGGGTCCCTGTGGGCTCACTGTCCCCAACACCGCTGATCATTCCCTCTTGGGATCCTCCACCCTCTCCCCGTTTCCCTGCCCTGAGCACCAATCTTTCCTCCTCAGCGTTCTCAATAGCTGCCCTTCTTCACCTGCCCCTCCCAGGGTGGCCGGTTCTCAGAGCCAGGCAAGGGCTCTGCCAGGAGCATGTCTCTCATACACAAACCACCCAGGCCGAGTCTGTAGCCAGCCAACTAGTTACCTTGGTCTGACATACCAAGCCAGTATTTCCCCTGTCGTACATCATCCCTGGGTCGGGCATAGGCGACCAGAGGCCACTCTGTAGCCCAGAGCCTGCTGGAATTACTTGAACCAGCCAGTCCTGAACTCTGTCCTGTCCTGCCTTGCCTCCCAGGGAAGGCCTGGTAGAGGCTCCGGCCTCGCTTTCCCCTCGCTCCTCCCGTCTCACCAAACCCGGGGCTGCCGTGGGGCCACATGGCTTGGCGAGTCCCCTTTTCTCAGGAAATTGAAGTAATAACTTTCTCTTTCAATGGCATTCACTTCTCCATGTCTTCCCTCTTTCACCTCCGTAAATTAAAACCCCACAAGGATATTTTCAATATAGTCAGAAAATTAATAATATAACAAAAACAACACAAGCTTGTTGGGATTTACTATGTGCTGGGTACCAGCATCAGCGACACATGTATCTCCCTCTTTAATGCTCACAACAACCCTCTGCGTTGGGAAAGTGGGGCACAGTTAGGTAAATCTGACATTACCGCACAGCGGGTAAGTGCTGAAGCTGGGGTTCAAACCACAGCTGTCTGGACTCAGAGTTCTATTCAAGGTAAAAAGCGTGTGTTGCATTTCAGAGGCCTCTCCTCTCCCCAGCTCTCCCATCGTATTGCTGGAATCCTCCCAGATTCCTGATTCTTTTGGTCAGAAAAATGGTTTAAATTATGTAATATCCTTTCTGCTCCTCGTTGACCATCCGAAGGTCTCAGAGTCCAAACAAGAAGTGAATGGTAGCTGGAACACGTGAGGGGCAGGGACACCCAAAGCTGCCCCCTTATCTTGAAATGCACTTTCTTTCCTCTAAGGTGAGTGAATAGAATGACCCAAAGCAACGGGAGGAAGGAAGGGCTGCCCAACATTTGCCTACGGTCGTGGAAGCCTATTTCAAGGTGGTAAAGCATGACCTCTGCTGGATCCCTGAGTTCCAAGTCTGACCTGCTGACTCCAGAAGACAGGCAAAATTCCTTTGCAAAAAGGCTAGAACATACCTGTGTTGGGGTAGCAAGCCATAAATGCTGTGGTTAAACCGAGTGTTTAACTTGTTCTCTGCCCATCTGTTGATCAAGAACGTAGGGTAAAATTTGTTGAGGACAGAATTAAAGCGAGTGAAGAGAACTGTGTCCATCGGCATCCCATTATCCCAGACCCGGTTCCAGATCCAGGCGCCCCGCCTCGTGCTCAGAAATACCTAGGAGAGAATGCGAGCAAGTGAAAAATGGGTCACTCACGGTATAACTAGCAGCTTCTCTTCAAAGGGTCCTTCTCTCAGGTTTTCAGCTCTGTCTCCTGTGGCTCAGGAGCAGAAATGGAGGGCCCCTGTGTTCTCAGACAGGCGTGCCAGCAGGTACAGGGGCACTCGCTCACTCACACATCTGCCTGCGGCTCATAGCCCCGGCCCTCTGCCCCCGCCGGCCTCTGAAGCCCACCCACTCTCCCTCTGAGCCTTCTCCAGAGCAGCGTTGGATGCCCGCAGTGTGTTAAGTTCCAAACTCCAGATGAACGCAGTGGTGCAGTGAGATGCGAGATCAGCAGATTGACACGTAAGATCACATCCATCTGCAGATCACAGTATTATAGTACCTAGAACACTAGTTAATCTGTCCCTAGATATCTACGTATGGCAGAAATCAAAGGTGGGAGATGGTGTCAATAGCCACGTCAGTGAAAAATAAAGGGATTTTAGAAATGGTTTTCTGGTATGGTCATTTTTGTAAGTCTTGGCAGAGATAATGAAGCCTCTACCACACTCTGGTCATTCACTAAAGTTTGAAATATTTACTTCTTAAATTTAATGAATTTACTTTTAATCAGACATACCCCCAATTCCCCCCTCCCTGTTCACCCGTTTCATTAATCTCCCCATCTCCTCCCTTACAGCAACCAGCAGTCTGTTCTCTGTGTCTGTGAGCTTATTTCTGTTTTACTTGTTTGTTCATTTGATTTGTTTTTAGATTCCACATATAAGTGAAATCATATGGTATTTGTCTTTCTCTGTCTGACTTATTTCAGTAAGTATAATGCCCTTTAGGTCCTTCTACGTTGTCACAAATGGCAAGATTTCATTCTTTTTTATGGTTGAGTAATAATCCATCATGTACATGTCCCATACCTTTTTATCCATTCATTTATAGATGGACATTTAGGTTGCTGCCATATTTTGGCTATTGTAGGTCATGCTATGGTAAACAAAGGGGTGCCTATATCTTTCTGGATTAGTGACTATGTTTTCTTCAGGTAAATTCCCAAAAGTGCAATTGCTGAGTTGGCTGGTAATTCTATTTCCCGTTGTTTGTGACACCTCCATACTGCCTTCCTTAGTGGCTGCACCGATTTGCAATCCCACCCGTAGCACAGGGGGAGGGGGCTGTTTTTACCCAATTCTCACTTTTTTTTTTTAATTGGAATGCACTACCATGATGTCTACCAAGAAAACAGGTGTGAAGAGTCAGTTAACAACCAGGACTGAAGCAGGGTGTGGGTACACACCACACACATTTCATACAATGCTTCATGCAATGCTCACGCCTCGGAGGGCAGTGGGCAGGTTGCATCTCAGAAAGAGAATTTCAGGCAGCAAACCTGTGCAGCTGTGTGACTGAGCTCGACCGCTAGGTCAGCCCCAGAATTTCCAATGCCGACCACGATGGTCTTCTTTCCCCGAAATTTCTCTGCGTTCTTGTATTCCCAGCTGTGGAGATATTGGCCCTTGAACCTCTGGATTCCTGTTGGCAAGAATAAGAATTGCCCAAGCTGTGGTCATTATTTCATTTTCTTTAACCGCTGGCATATTCTAAAGCTCACTACTGAACTCGAAGTCCCTTCTATTCAAACCTCGTATTTGCGGATCTACTGTAGCTGGTCTGCGGTCTGTGCCTGCCCGACATCCTCAGAAAGAATGAATCCTCCTACAGCTTTGTTCTAGACCATAAATTCTTTGCCCAAATTCCTAGCTTTCTAAGAAACCCAGACATCTCATTTCTGCCTCCCCTTTACTTCTTTGTACGTTGCCACGCCTTTAGAGAGGAGCCCGGCTCCTGTTTAAGCGATCCGTCTCCTTATCCTGCATCCGCATTATTTACAGCTACCAGACCCACGTCCCGTCTGCTTCGCCGGCCCAGGCTGCACCCTGTCTGGTCTCTTTCCGGCTCTTCCTGGGCCCAGGACACCGTGCTGCTCACACCATTATCTCTGCCTTCCTCCTGGGGGCAGACGTTCCCACATCACCCACAGAATCTGAAGCTGACGTGATGTAAGGGCTCCTTATTTTTGCCAGAAATGAGCTCTGACTTAGAGACCCCGTATGGCAGAGCCATACAAACTGGCTGACTTTGCAGATTTCCACTTTGTAAAAAGTACACTGGGGTCTGCGCCGGGGGGCTTCCTGTGCTCCTCCTGTGACACTGGCAGCCTGTCTGGTCTGTAGTGTGGCTCAGTCCCTGCCTTCTTCCTTTTTCCTACAGAATCTGCCCCAAATTTCCGCTTTCCTTTGGACCCAGCTCCTCAGTCATCACCTAGTGAACGCCTGGCATGCGTCTAGTTGTTTCCAAACCCCGTCTTTGTTCAGATCGATTGTCAATCCAACTTCCGTTTGCAGCTGTGTCAGCCACTCCCCCCGCCCCGGCCCCACTGCAGACCCTCTCTCTCCCTGCAGATAAACTTCTTTTCCTTGCTTTTATGAAACAGCAAAGATCTTAGGTTCTCTCCTCAAAACTAAAAAGCTGCTGTTTCCGTCCATCCTTCCTCGATCTCCTCTCCTCAGGAGAAAATGTTTCTCTTCTGTTCCGAAATGAACCCTTTGCAGTGCAGGCCAGTGTGGGAGGAGACTTGGAGGCCAAGTACCCCAGGCTGAATCTCAGTTTGTTCACTACCAGCAGCATCCGAAACGAGTAAGTGGAAATCGCTCTGCGCAGCTTGCAGGCACGGTGCCAGGATGCCCTGAAATGGTCCTACAGCACAGGAAGTATTTGAAAAATAAGCTGAATGCCCTTTGAATGTCTTCCGTCCCATCCTGTCTTCTCCCATTTTCGGTGAGCGCTTCTGTGGCCTGGGCGCCGGTGGCCCCCTCCGTCGCTACCTCACCCAGTGGGGTCAGCTCTCCCACAGCCTCCCTGCCTCAGGGGAGGCCACCCCGTGGCCCAGGCCGGCAGCCTCGGAGGGTCCCTGACGCCTCTGTCACATGGCCCGTGTGGTGCGGCTGCAGATTCTGTCGTCTCTGCATTCAAGCTATATCCAGGGCCCGGGTACTTCGTGACACTCCGACTGCCACCACCCTGTCCAGACCCCCCTAGTTCCCCACCGGAACCGGGCCAAGGGCCTCGTCCAGGGTCTGCAGGCTCCCACCTTTACCACCCGTTTCCCCAACCATTTCCAGCACAGCAGCCAAAGTGCTTGGAGCCACTCCTGTGCCCGACCCTCCGCCTGGCATCACCTCCTTCTGCTCTTTCTTCTATGCCCGTCACAGAGGGGCTGTTGGGCACATGCCCTCCTCATGGCCGTTGGCATGCTCTTCTGCCCACATGCTGTCCCGCGACATCAGTATTGCTTCCTCAACCCTGCTGGGTATTTGCTCAAGTGTCCCTTTCTCGCAGAAGTCTTACCTGGCCACCTTCTGTCATCTTGCGTCCCACCCCATCCTTGGCGCCTCCCCTTTCCCTGCACAGTAGCCACCCCCCCAGTGTCCATTCCATCTGTGTCTGTCTCCATCCACTGCCACGCATGCTGCTTGAGGATAGAGGTTTTGCCTATTTTGTTCTCTGCTTTTTGAGCTTCTCTTTGAGCCTCTGCTGCTCAACAGGTGTTTCTTGAAGACATGTTGAATGAATGAATACAGGCATATTGAAATCTCTAGTGAACTAAGCTCTGAGCCCATATACCTCTCTGGACCAGTGTTAACCTTCTCTCTCTTCCCTTTCATGGAACAGACACTCACAGTGGTGGACATGGAGGCAGGCTAGCATCTCCTGAGGACTGCAGAGGAGCCTCAGGTACCCCCCAACCTTGAGAAGACTGAGTATATGTCCTGTTTCTAGAGATAAAACAGGAAGATCTCATGCAGATGAATATTTATACTCAGGGTGCTTAAGCTTCCAAATAGCAAATGATAGCCCTGCTGTCTCTTCTAAGATGTGTAGTGACATTGGCATGTAGCTACTTATATTCATCATGCCAGGCATATACATACACATTCAGGAATAAAGCTAAATCTTAACATACTTCCTGTAGCTTTGGTCTTACTATTTATGCCGTACTATTATCAACGCAAAACAATTCTCACATTTTATCTCCCAATTGTGGTAAAATGTAGCCTCATTTTTTTTTAAATAGCTCAGACCTGGTGGTGATAGGGTATTAGTGATATTTATTTTCAATTTTATGACATTATGTGTTATCTGAATGGACCTTGAAACAGGGTGCACTACTTCAGTGGGGGCCCAGGGCAGGCCACCCAAGATGTGCCGCTTTGGCTTATCGATTACTTTGAATTAAACAATGGGAGAAATGGCAGAGGTGGGAGGGCTTCTCTGTCCTCTGTCCCCATCATCTTGAAACCAGGAAATGAATCTCCCCTGTGAAAGAAAGACCCCCCCCCCTGCTCTGGAGCAGAGAAGGCAGCCTTCTCACCAGAGGTAGGGTGTTTAGAGTGTAGATGGCTGTATAAACAACAACTGTTACTTTTACTAATCAACTGCACCAACCCAAATGCTGTTTGGAATTCCTTACTAACTGAAGCTCCCAAACCTGAGTTTTCTTTGTCCTGACAATTCCTCACAGATTTATGTTTGCCTAAAGTGTATAAAAGCCGCCTACTTTGATCATTGCTTTAGCCTCAATTATATTATTGGGCCTCTGTACATACATAATTAAACTTGATTTTTTTTTTTCTCCTGTTAATCTGTCTCATCTCATTTTGATTCTTAAACCACCTAGCAGAGCCTTGAAGGGTAGAGGAAATTTCTTCCTCCCCAACACTTTATAAAAATAACATTTGTTTTGAAAATAAGATGACTTCGATAGTCACAAATTTTCTGCAAAAATAACAGCAGCAATGTTAAAAGCCCACCCACCACAGTGTCTTAGCCTTCAGGGCGACACACCTGGGAAGTCCTGGAGCGGCAGGAAGGGCTCGCTGTAAAGACCGGTGCACACCAGGACCCCATCAAAGACGTAGGGCTCCTGCCTCCCTCCGGCCTCCACCACCACATGCCACTGTCCTGTGCACGAGAAGTCGGAGCACTTCCTCACACTGCTCACCTTCGACTGAAAACGAGACAGACTCACTCGTGGTGCCTGTGCCCTCCTGCCCTCCTGCCCTCCTGCCCAAGGGACTCGTAGCTTCTTCCTGTGAGTTAGGTTGGCCACAGCCACCCTCTTCTGGGGTCTTACGGAAGAGTTCCTTGATAACCAGTTTACCTACCAGGCCTTTCTGAGTACGGACATAGCCCGCTTTGTTCCCAAGCAATACCAGGTCTGGCCCAGGATGGCATGTCAGCCCACCGGCCATACTCCTCTCCTGAAGGAGGTGAGGACAGCAGGCCTGCTGACTTCCCTGGAGGAGCGTGTGAAGCTGGCTCCCAGGCGGACTGCATGCCCGGCCACACCCCGCTCCGGCCTGGCCGTTGCGCCTACCAGGGAGGGTCCCCACGATGCTGAGGGTTTTCTGCCCACTCACCAGAAAGCGGATGTGCTTCAGAAGGTGGAAGTGTCTGACGTACATCCTGAGGTACTCCATGATTTTGGAGTTGTGCAAGTAGTTGGGGAAGTGGTCAGGGAACGGGTAGTCGCTGTATGTTGTCATCTCCTTTGACGTGTTGCTGGTGGCAGATTCATAGATACTTGGCCTGCCACCTTTAGTGTCCTCCTACCAAGAAGAAAAGGACTCTGGCTGCCTTTCAGAATGCAAGAGTAACAGTCACAGGGTAAAGCCCTTCACCAGTCAAATTTCAAGGCTCCTGGGATGAACCCCTTCAAATAAAGTAATCGCTTTCCCATTATGTCGCTAAGAGATAAGATACCTCGTGGTCAGTAATTTAAAAGAGCAAATAATTTCATTGGGCATGAAAGAGGGTGGGAAGAACACGAAAAAGATATGAACAAAAAGTATATGCAGACCACCAGGGAGTGATGGTAGGCAGGGGAAGATGGGGCGGCGGCTCTGCCTGCAGCACTTGAAGGGCTGGGGTCCCAGGCGGAGGGTGCCTGGGAAGCCCGGCTGTTTGCAGCGACTGATAAAGCAGAGAGCATAATTGCACTAGACTTTCTCTTTCCCCTTCGTTTTTACTGGTGATTTTCTTCTACTAACAAAAGCAGCACAGGTTTATTATGTTTCATAGAAATTTTTTTTAGATTTTTTGATGTGGTCCTTGAGATATATCATTGCATGGCTTGGACGAGGAAACGGACATCAAATCATTTCTCTGAGTCTGTTTCTTCACGTATAAGTAAGTGCTCACCTGCCTCACAGACTTGTTGTGGAGACCAAACAATGCCTATAAAATGCTTTAGAAACCTTTCACCGGAAACCAGCAATTGCATGCAGCGTGATCAGACCAGGGGTGGTGCACACACAGGTACTGGGCTGCAGGCTGGGAGCTGGGAGCAGCTCTCCTAGGCATGTCTGATTCAGTCTGGGTCCAGCCAGGGGCATGGGATCCACTCTCAATATTTGAAGCAGGGAATTGGTCACACAGGTAACAGAAGACCAGAAAGGCCCACAAGATGCCAGTAAGACGTCCCAGAGGTTAGCAAAGGCAGGCAGCCACCACACGGCTGGGAGAGACCCTGGCAGTTAACAGGTGGGTGGCTCCCACCTTCCTTCTGCTCCCCCCCATGGCGCCCACGGAGGCCACGTGGCCCAGGGCTATCATCGTACGATGGAGAAGGGCCGCTTGATCACATCGGACTTTGATACAGACCAGAAACTGTTACTGCGCTAAGCTCTTGAGATTTCAGCATGTGTGTCTGTGGGACAGTTATGTTAGTTGCCATGACGAATGCATATGTATTATTAGGCTGATGGTAAAGCTCTAAGATCAAGAACCAGTATGTACGTGAAGCTGAAGCCAAGAGGGGATAAGGAGGAATCCTAAGAACTCTCAACAAGGTGAAAGACCAGGTTGAGAACAGAGTCGCATTACTGAGAAGGAAAAGCAGAGAAGGAAAGAGAGGCAATCACAGAGACTAGGGACAAGCATCTCATAAAAGGAGTTCTGTTTTTAACATTGTTAGATCCTCTTGAGAAGGGAAGAAAAATTAGGACAGGAAGTCCATTCGATCTGACAGCTTTGGGAACGGCAGCAAGAGTCGTCAGGCAGCGCTGGGATGACCTTCAGGGAGCTGGACAGTGCAGAGCCGGCATGCGATTCTGCTCACGAGGCCCGCCTCTGCAAAGGAGCATGGCCGGCTGGACATCATCCTTGGGGCAGGGAAGGGCGGGTAGTCAATGCACAGGTGGAGGCACTGATGAAAGTAATGACTGTGCTGCTAGATGAAGGGGAAGTCAGTGTTTGATCCCAGTGTTTGATCCTGGGAAATTTCAATTTCCCAGATACGGAAAACATGTCACACGTATGGAAGTGCAAATTTCCTCAAACTCACCTCATATCTCCACAGTCCTCCAATGTCATCGCTTTCTTCAAAACAGGTGGGCTGCAGTCCCTCCTCCAGGCAGATCTTAATGGCGCCCAATCCACTGACCCCAGCACCGATCACCGCGATTCTTTTTCCCGGCATTGTGTCCTCGATCAGGAGACTTACTAGTGTAAAGTCAGACTCTTACTGCCGTGTAACTTTTTCTAGAATGCAAGATCATCAGGATTTTTTGTTTTTTCTAAAATTACTAGCTAATGCATTTAAGCCATGTCCTGCTCGAAGCTCTCTGGGTGACAGAACCCCTACTTTGCTCAAGACTTTCTCATGTTCAAGTGCAGAGTAGATTGTTTTAATAAAAATGTGACCCCCTAAAGTTTTCTTGGCCATAGGACTTTATTTCTACATTTCTTTTTTGATAGCTTCCTTTTAGGAAGAATACATTTACACACATACACACATACACACACACACACACACACACACACACACACACACTTCTCCATGTGCATATTTTATCCAAACTTTTCATTCTTTCTGCTACTTTATCTGCTTGGGTCCTTTTGCAAAGTTAACTTTTGATTTAGGCCAGAGAATCCCTACTTTTGCCAATGCCTTGAAGCAAGAGGCTTCATACCAGAGGTTAATATTCTGCTGCACATTCATCTAGTAAACATTCATTGGGAACTTACTATGTGCCAGACACTACTTTCATGGGGCAGAAACAGCAGTAAACAGGCACAGTTCTTTGAGGACATTCTAACGAGGCAGAGACTAAACATGTAAATAAGTAATAAGCCAGATGCTGATAACGTGCTATGGAGAAAACTGAAACAGGGCAGGGCCTCTAGGGAATACAGGACCCAGCATTGTATATAATCTGGTTGAGGATGGGGGTTCACTGGTGACATTCAAGCAGGAAATGAGGGGCCAAGCCACATGACCATCTGAAAGAGAATTCCAAGCAGAGCGTCAGAAATGGACACACACTGGACAGAGAAAATGGGAAGCCCTGTGAGGGGGCACCTGAGGGGCTTAGGGGTATAATGAGGTCAGAGAGGAAGTGTTAGGCATCGGTGTCTGTGTGAGAATGAGTGGAGGAGGTCAGAGGAGGCAGTGCCCTTCTCCAACCGATGGAACAAAGGGATTGGGTGGCCCTACAGTTTCAACAGGTTCTCAGAAATGCTGCTCACCTGTGGGTGCCTCTGAGGGCACTTCGCACCCTGTCCACCCTACGAGGGTATTTCAGCCTCCAGCACTCTGTCGAACCATGGGCTAATAAGGTTTCCTTATGAGATGTCTCCTTAATTTACAGTCTGGCGGTTTTTCTCCCTATACCTTTTGCTCTCTACTCTGAATTGGAGGAGGAACCGAGCAGAATTCTATACTGCATTATAACAAGTTAATATTATAATGGATTAGAGCAGCTATTATACTATGAGGTGATTTTCTGATCTGGAGTTCCTTGGTAAACTCTTTTAACTTAAGGCTTATTAATGTAACCCTGTACCATTGATGCGTTCCTACTACTTGAAATGTATCCAGAGGCTATAAGCAGTGAGTTTACCCAGTGACAATAGCAAGGACCTAAGTAATCCCCCTTGAGTGTACCAATTAACCCATAGGTTTTCCAAGTACTTAGCAGGATTGCAATGTCAGCCAACACCCCGGTGAATCTACGTTAACAAGAAAAGGAAATCACAGAAATGCATGGATAAAGAATATTGCATTTATTAATGTGAAAAGTAGACCCAAATGCTTAGGGTCCATTTTTAAATGCCAAAGCTATTAGGTTTCCATTGGGATAGACACATTTGTTTGAAAATCCAACTTTCGGATGTCAAAAATGTCTAGTCAAATACTTTTATTCAGGGTATTTGAATTCCTTGGCTGTTGAAATAAGAAGCTGTTAGCACATAGATTTGTGCCTAGCGTATTCTAGGTGCTGAGTCCTTCGTCATTTATACCTCCCGGCTCCTCTAGCAGCTCCATTGAACTCTAGTGCCCGATCTCCTCGGTCCATTTATCCCCTCATCTGAAACAAACCCAGATTGAACCTCAGCGACCAACTCCCTCTGCACAGACGCATCTGCTGCGGACCCTACCTGTCTTCTGCTCTGCTGGAAACAGTAATTAGTTGCTCTTTCGATGAATTTTTTGTTCTGTTTTGCCTTCCCTTGTGAACATTCCATACTAATTAGCCATTTTCTTTTGATTGCATATATGGAACGCAAGGATCTTTTTTTAAATCATGAAATTATATGGCATAAAACAAAAATTTAAAAATCCCACCAAGCCCCAGTGTCTTCGAGGAAATAAAGGTCATAAAACTAACCTGTAGCAAGAAGAAGAAAAGCCGATTCACTGTTGGTGTCTCCAGGCGCTCAGGCAAAGCGATGGGCTCCGGAAGGCTTGTCTCCCAGGGGCACCACTGGGTGCCTTGCTTTTTCCTACACCGGGATGACCCACCAAGGTGAGCTTTTATGATGGCTGATTTGCCAAGACTCCTCCCCGTGTCTCTCTCCTCTCCACCTGGCTTTTAAAGTTGGGGTTCAGGTAAAGAAATTGGCATGTTGTCAAGTTTTTCTAAGCATAGTAATTGTACTGGTCTCACAAAGTCTAATTAAGTCAAAGGCACGAAGACACCCAGAAGGAACTTAACATTAAGACAGTGCACAGCTTGGGAACTGATCTATAGGGAAGCATGGAAAATACGGGAAAATTATTTCATCTCCAGGAATGATAGGTAATGAATGTAAATGCACTTCACTTGATGGAACATTAGCACCGAAGCTGAAACGGGGAATGGGAGCCACTGACCCAAACCATCTCTGTACATAATTTTGTGTGTATTTCTGACTATTTGTGATAAATTCCTACCACAGCAATTACTGAGTCAAAGGCATTTGAGGACCAGTTTTTCAGCTCTTTGATACATTGTCTCCAATAAAGATTAAAGCAGTTTCATTATGATTACAAATGAACATATTATATATAAATAATGTATTTTCCTAATGGAAGTGGCAATTCTTTGAATATCAGTAGGTCTAAACTCTGTTCATGTATTTTTGGTCCACTTGTATTTCTTCTTTGGTGAATTTTATGCATCTCATTTCTACATTTTCTATTCTTTTGCTTAAAGAAATCTTTTAGTATTATAAAGAGAAACCATTTTTCCTCTGATACATCTTTCAAATATCTTCTCTCATTTTGTCATTAGCTTTGGACAATTACATAGAGCTTTCTTTCATGTTGACTGAGTAAAAACATTTTTTCCTTTATAGTTACTGGTCATTTTGTCATATAGTCTTCCCTGTCTCAAGATTATAAAATTATTCATCTGGATTAGTAATTTTTCTTACGGTTTTATATTTTTATTTAACTCTTTGATCTTTCCAGGGTTCAGTGTGGACATAGGGTGGCAGGTAATACTTTGATGTGATCTTTTTCTCAATAGTTCACCAGCCCATTTTATGGAACGTTTTATTGAACAAGCCGTCCTTTCCCTATCATATTGGAAATGTCACCTTTTTATTTATGTGTCTGGTTTTATCATATCTTTATTTTCTCTTCCACTAGTGCTTCTTTACATTCAGATATCAAAACCATGCTATATAATTACTGTTGCTTTAAAGGATTTTTGACATTTCCTTGTGCAGCCTTTAATTATTACCTTTCTCTTTCAATATTTTCTTGACTTCTCTATCAAGTTTACTTTTCTAGATGAAACTTAATTTTTCACAGTGCCAAGAAATAAAGTTTTATGATATTTATCAGTTTAGTATTATGCAATAATTGACATTTTTATAACATGGAACTTCTCCATTTATTCACATGTTTTTATCCTATAGTAAAATATTTTTACAGGAATTCATGTGTTGTTGGTTTCTAGTTACATGTCTGATTATTACTGGCAATGTTAATTTTTCTATTGTTAGGTTGAGCTTATTTGCTTATTTATTGCTGGCATAACAGTTAAAAGTTTTATATATATATATACACACACACATATGTATATTTCCTACATACTGTGTAAAAAACTATATGTTATATAGTCCATATACACACATATGATTTCAACATTTTAAACTCTTTCTTTCTAAATATTTTATAGGTTCTCATGTCAGTCCAAATAAAGAATCAAAATGATAATATAATTTAGTTTCTCCCCTTCTGATAACTATTCCTGTATTTTTCCTCTCATTTTCTGAGTTGTCTAAAATTTTCAGAACAATTTCCAATAGAAGTGGTTACTGAACAAGTTCTTTTGTGTGATTCACCCTGGAGTATGATGCTGGCTTTTGGGTTGAGGAACACATATTAAAGAAATATTCTTCTCTTTATAGGTAGCTCTGTGCGTGCGCATGCGTGTGTGTTTAACCAGGAAGCACATCGATTTTACTGAGCACATTCCTAAATCTATTAAGATAATCATATAGTTCTCTCATTTCATCTATCACTGTAATGGATTACATTTGAACCATATTAAATCTTAACTTGGTCATGATATAGTATTTAAAAATGTTGGATTTTATTTCTTAGAATTTTGTTAAGAGTTTTTGCATTTAAAATTATAACTTTAAGATTGGTCTGTTCACTTTTTTGTGCTTTATCAAGCTTATGCTGTCTTTGTGATCGGGGTTATGAAGAAGCTTCCATGTTTTCTTTATACTTTGGGCAGTTTACAGTAGATGGTAATATCTGTATAGTGAAGCCTAATGCCAGTTTTCTAGAGCAATCTGGGCCCAGTGATTTTCTTGGTGAATCCTTTTATTTTGTAAACTCTTTGTTTTACAGGTTTTTATACTTTTCTCCTATTATCAATTTAGTTATTTTCTTTAAAGACCATTTATATGAGTTTAAAAATTTTAATCTACTATTATATATTATAATACATATTCTCATTTTGTAACTTTTTGATCGCTGTTAATCTGTAATTGTCCCATTGTTCTTTATTAACTTTGTGTTAATGAATTAGCTTGATTTTACTTTGGGCTAATAGCAGAGCTATTCCATCCAGTCCCCAGTGAGGTAAGGAGCTTGAACTAGGATGTAGATTAAGGCAGTGCTTCCAGGGAGGCTTGCAACAACGACCAAAAGTTAGTGAACATCAACAATGTGTTTAGTGACTGAGGCTATTTACAATTTTGCATAAATTCCTTATCTTGTACTAGATAAATAACAATC